GAAATTTGTCTTGGGTTTTTCGCTTTTGGATTTCTAGCCGCTATTGTTTTACTTGTAAAGGCAAGCGCTAGGGAGCCGCCTAGACTGTATAAAGTAAGTATGCAACTGGAACTCACTCAATATAGAAAGACTACCGGCCTTCTTAAAAAATCTCGCGATATCCTCATTATCACTTCTTAACTTTTTTGAATATGTTTAGTACAATATTATTAAGAAGTATATCAACACCACAAATGTTGAAGAAAATCTTTTTAAATCAGTTTTACGTAACARATGGTCCTTGCTTACTTTCTGAGTATTTTTTAACGGCTTTTTAACAACACTTTTCCAAATTTATTTTATACCTTTTTGCCAAATTCAAGGTCTTTAGTGTATTAGGATTGTTTGCTGCTTTCATGATTTGGCAGTTACTTACCATGGAAGCGGATACTTTAATTCATCAAAGTCTTCAGTATCTAATACGATGGAATCTCGATGATGTTGCTGTTGCGAGTTCCTCATTTTCCAGCAGTGTAACAGGTAAACTTAAATAAATATTTGAGCAAAAAATTACTGAGATAGTATTGTAAACTAACTGTATTTTGTAAGCTTCAAACTTGCTTATAATTGATAATACTAAGTGACAGATTTTGATAAACTTTCTTTTAAAAAGATTATTTAGGTAATCGAGTTGTGGCATATATTTAAAACACATATCTTCAATTTCTTTTGTTTTTAGAAATGATTCTTGTTTATGAATTGATAGAATACGAAGAAGTGGATATTGCGTTTGGTCTCGTTACCGGTTTGGTTGTATACAACACAATCGGTAGCTTCCCTGCCATGGTCCTCCAACCTTGTTTCGATACATCATCCCCTGTAAGTTTGTGTATTATTTCCATATATTTATTAAATATGTAAAGGGTGATCCTTTTTGAGGTTCCCTACCTTTTTATAAGAAAAAACACAGAATCCTCAAATTTAATAGGGAATGTTTATTATCATTCGTAAGAACATTCTTTGGCATTTATTTGTTAAAGGTTATCTCTTTCAAGTGTTGGTCGCGGCTATGTCTCAGATGGTTCATCCGTTGAGTACTATTTTCGATGATTCGTTCTAGCATTTCGACTGGTAACTGGCGAATGACAAGCGTGATGTTTTGTTCTAAGGTTTGAATCGAAGTTGGATTGTTTACATAGACTTTAGACTGACATGTCCCCACAGGGAAAGTTTAATGGGGCTAATGGACCGGCCCAAAACGTGAAATTATCTGGCCACCTCTTCTCTCAATAAATCCATTGATTGATGCCATATGTAGGAATAGAAACCGAACATCGCCAAGATCACGAGCTTCAATTTCAGACTTGAGATAGTCGGTTATCATGTCGCGATAACTTTCGCCATTGACGGTTACGTTCTTCGTCCCAAATTTGCCAATTTTACTTGCTTATACATCTATTGAGCCAGAAATGGGCTTCATCGCTGAACAAAATTTGGCTAGAAAACGTCGGATTTGTTTGGAACTTTTCAAGAGCTCTTGAGTGAAGCTCTCATCTACGGGTGCTATATTTTCTTCATAGCATGCTGGACATGGTTTGTTTGGTCGAATATTATCTAATAATGAAAGCTGGTTCTTAAGATGGGTAATGCTTTTGCGAATAGTGCGCTCAGTAGGCCGATTATGTTGAAATGCCAAGAAATGCTGAACAAAATCACAAGACACTAGTCACACATGATCTGTCAAAAAAAAAAAACTATTGGATGTACATAGAAAGAACTATAAGATAGATATTAAAAGGATAAGGAAGCTATAAAAATGAAAAGTGTCACGTTTTGTAATCCTCATATAATACAAGTATATTATATACGAAAACTCTGATCAATAAATTATGGCAAACAGCCCATTTCTTCCCTAACTCACATATACCATACCTTTTATATACATAAGTACTGCCGTCCCTGAAATATTACATTGAGCATTATGAGGTTTAGTGCCAAAAATTGATGAAACCGCTCATACTCCCATTGGCCCTCACATGTCTAATATAATACACTATATAATTGTGTTTAGTATAATGTAAGTCAGTCTCAAAATTGTGTGATATCGATTCACAAATTTGTGTCTACAAGTTCAATCGATTAAAAATTTCCTCAAATAACAAGTATCGAAGTCATGAGCAATTATTCACCCGATTTTACTTTGTACACATTGCGAGAGTATATAATGTTCGGTAGCGCCGAAAGTAAGCTCTAGAAAACTTTTTTATATTGAACATTTATTTTGTTTTTTATTTGCAGCTTTTCATCACTAACAATAATTCTACCATATGCGTGTTTCTATTCTTGATGATCGGTTACACCTTTGTTGCACTAAGCATTTCTAATTTTGAACTGCGCCGTAGCTTTGGTATTTTCTTAAGCATATTTTACACTGTTTTCTTTCTGTTTATAATATTATCGGCCTATGAATTTATACATCCTTATGGCTCCCAACATTCTCCTACAGTTCTCTATAATTCGTTAACACATTCTAATTGGTCATAAAAATTTAAATTTGTATATATACTTGCAAAGGAAAGTAAATTAAGTCAATAAAATATTGTTGTAATCAGATGATACCAATCTCTTTTTATTCGTATTTTTTAATAATGTTAATGAAGTTAACATGTAATATTGCCGCAATAGACGTTAAATTTTAATAAAATTGCTGCTCACACGAAAAATAGGCTTCGATTAACTAATCCAAAGGTACAAATAATATTGGAAACTTAGAAGCAGCAACCAGCCCTTGTGGGGCTACGAAATTCTTCGTGCGCAGAGCGGAAAGTGAGTAATCCACTTAAGTAAAGATGAACTGAAAGCATCTAAAGATTCTCTTCTCCACTATGGTCTGTTAAGATGACAAACATAGTATATCACTGTAGTTATATCCTCGGTAGTTATAGATCATGTACACTCATGGGGATAGAGGGACTCACCAGCGGAAATTTTAACATCTTCACGGTGGAATCAAAAATTGCTGATGGAGTGAACAGAGAAATCTATTGCACGGAGCTAGAGGTCCACCAACCCTTCAAACAGTCGAAATACCGGTATCTTACAAGCACAAGTCTTTTTTGTGTTTTTTTTTTTGTGGTTTTGCGGGTGAGGTGGAAAATGCCTTCCGCAACATCAGTGCTGTCGTCACAGCAACGTTATGTGCCACTTGCAGGCCACTAAAACCCCTGTCTAAGGAACCGTCGTCACCCACCCTGGAACCAAATTTGCATTACTTCAGAGAGGGGGGACCCTTTTTTTTTCATTGAGAGATTTACAGTGGCTACCAAACCACTAAAGGATATTCACAAGTTAATGCCGAAATTTCTTACAGGCTTGTCAGGCGAATTAGGGTGAGCTGAAATGCCTTAAGGGTTATTCAGGATCGCTAAGATCATGTGTAAGATTACGTAAGGGGAAAAAAACACGGATGTTTTAAAATCACACGGTTTTGAAAAGACGGCATGGCAGCCTTATCTGGACTCGGTTTAGCAATTCGGGAGCTTTGCAGTTCAAGAGGGTAGATGAAATGTCAGAATTATACATCAAGTATCTAAAGTACCTCCATCTGTCATTACAAAGGATCTGTAGCTTTATGCATGACATGACAACCAACTAGTATAACCTAACCTTACCTGTATCCTTGCCGTACCATGCGAATTCGATGAAATTAATACTAGCCATCTCAATTAATTTTAGACAGACGCAAAGCGCACTATGAGGGGTTTTATGACAACATCTGACGAGTTGACGTTACGAGTTTTCGGGAGAAAGGTTCTAAGGAAGATTTATGGTCCTTTGCGCATTGGCAACGGCGAATATCGCATTCGATGGAACGATGAGCTGTACGAGATATACGACGATATTGACAAATATATTGTATTGACATAGTTAAGCGAATTAAGAGACACCGACTGCGCTGGCTAGGTCAAGTCGTCCGAATGGATGAAAACTTTCCAGCTCTGAGAGTATTTGACGGAGTACCCGCCGGGGAAGCAGATAAAGAGGAAGGCCTCAACTACGTTGGAAAGACCAGGTTGGGATGGACCTGGCTACATGAGAGAATATCCAATTAGCGCCACACAGCGAAATGGAAGAAAGACTGGTGCACTGTTGTAAATTCGGCTATAATCGCATAAGCAGTGTCTACGCCAATAAAGAAGAAGAAAGCTTTAAAAAAATTCGCTCGCCATTCACGAGGTTTACCTTAATGCAAACCTTATACTAAATTTGCTTATGCATAAATGTAAAAATACAATTAAAATATTATTTTTGTAAATGGTTTTTATTTTTAGTATTTATTAAATTCGAGTATAATCAACATTTAACACTGTAACATACATAACTACGCGCCTTATATATGTATTTTCGAATAATAATTCATTATCAACAATTTTGGAATTTGGAAATGTTTGGCCATTGATTAAGTATAATAATTGTATAATTAAGTTTACATTTAAAATTTTTAATATAATTTTGAAAATTAGTTAGCAGAATAATACTAACAAGAACTAGCTACGCATTGGCTTGTTTAAGCAACTATCATTAAAGAAAACCTTTCTATTAGAATATCTAAGTATACATCTACATAATTAATTACCACAAATACAATATATTATATTGTATTCGAACAAAACTTCAAATAAAGTAAGTTTTGAGCAAAGCGATTAGATATATTCTGATTTAAAGAAGGACACATAATATATTTGATATAATTAAATTAATTTCTAATTACTTTATTTTATAGAAGGTATTATTGGACTTAAATTTATTACTTTCCGCACAACTTGACATACAAAGGCTATTTCGAAAACGCAATAACATACAATCCATTATCAATCTTTTTAGTTTTTAGCGTGGTTCGCTATATAGTTTTTAATGTTTTTATATTCGTTACTAAAAAGTGAGAAAACCTTCGAAAAATTTACAAATTTTTATTCAAGAAAAAGTAAAAAATAGTATTTGAAAACATAATACTGCGGACATTTAAACAGTTTAAATGGTCAGGTTAGACTTTATAATTAACTCAAGGAGCCATGTTTTTGTTAAACAGACGGGTAAACCTTTTTCCGAGTTCCTTTATAACAATTATCTATACAAAACATTATACTAATTCTATCAATTCAATTTAATTGTTTATTAAATTCTTTATATTGGGCAGATCTGAGCTGTCTGAAAAGTGTCATTAAAATTTTTTTAATAATCTTTGCAAATAAACTTTTAAGTGTGCCGGCTTAGTATTGACTGTGCTTTTGGCTGTCTAAAGTACAATAATTTTTGATCTCATCCATTGGTCAAACATGGATTTATTAAAAGATTATTACCCTTTTTCTCAAAGGGTTCCAATGGTTCTCGAACAATTCAAATTTCATTAAAACCAAAACGGGAAGTCTCTGGCGATTACGGGTCACTCTTCTTGGCAAGCGAGCAATCAGAAGTACATACGATGAAATTATTGCAATTTACAATAAGTTATCACATTAAGTTATAGTTATATATTTTCTGCTCAGTCGTTATGGTTTCCACTCAACTAAGATGGGGAGTTCAGTAGTCAACATGAGTAGATGAAGAATATAATTTCAGATCAAATTGAAGGTAAAAATACGATACGATCCGCACCAGAGTGCAGGGTTTCGGAGATCCACAAATAACTTCTAAAATATCGTCAACCGTGGGTACAACCGAAGTGCAATGATATAATCTTCATATTTYATAATATTCAAAACCCTTAAAGTAAACTTCAGTGTCCTAAATTGCCTTGGAGATGATCAAATAATCTCATTCAATTTTTATTAGTGAATGTGTCAGCGGGTTTTGTCGGCTACACTTGCAGATCTTTGGATATGCTTGATGAAAATCGAAAATCTCCAAAGCTTTTAAAAACTGTACTTAATTCGAATAATAGTTCAAAACAGTGTTTGAAACTTGTTTGCCTCTTGAGTCTATTTTTAGTAGTCTGCCACCTTGTGAAAAAAATATGTAAAATTTTTAATAGAAACTCTAATGAAGATTGGTATAACCTTTTTATATCCTGGCGGCTAATATTGAGTTTGACACGAAGTTTGTAACAGCAGAAGCAGACCCTTTAAAGTATTTACATTGCATAAAAATGATCAACGTCACAAGCTGTGTTGATTTAGCCAATTCCGTTTGCCATCCCTCTGTCTCTCTCTTTATAAACTACAATATATACGTAAACTAGTCCCCCAGCATTTCACATATTGATCTGAAAATTTTCACATGATCTCCCCAAAAAACTGTTCATTTTTTTAAATCTATCCTCTATTGGACCACTATCCAATACAACTATTATATAAACGGATCGATCAAAGTCAAGTCCTTGTTGAAATTTTTTTCTCAAAATATATTTTTCAGATCGGATATTTTTCAGATCGGACTATAGCGAATTGCTGCCATAAAAAAGATAAAGATCTTCATAAGACATCATTTTATGTATACGTAACCTTCATTCGACGAAGTTTGATCTTATTAAACGTTCGTTGAATGCAAAGTGATGCTTGACCTGTGAAAGGCTTTATAGCCTATGTCAACGGATTTAAGAATGGACGATTAACAGTCAGAGATCTTACTGGCATCGTTGGAATATCAAAACGATCAGTGAAAACCATTTTGAAAGATAATTTGGGTCTAAGAAAAGTGAAAGCAGATTGCTTCCAAATTCACCAAATATTTTCGAAAAATAGCGTCACATTAACGTCTGTAAAATGCTTTCTGACTACCAGGATGTCATGAAACATATTACTACTGGTCTGGAGTTTTAGATCTATGCCTTCGACCTGGAAACACACGATCAATCGACCGAATATCGTGACAAAAGTGAGCCGGAGCCGGAGCCGAAGCCAAAAAACCGGCCAAACTGCCAACAAGGAAAACTATTTGAGTGCTATTCATCGTTTGAGCGAAGCTATTTGTAAAAAGAAGTCAGAATTATGGCCGACAACTTTTGATTTTTGCACTACGATAATACTCCATCGCATACTGCATTGATTCTTCGTAAATTTTTCGGGAAATTTTCAACTAAAATTGTGCCGCGACCACCGTATTCACCTGAAATAGCTCTCTGAGACTTCTGTCTATTCAGAAAATTCAAACAATCGCTCCGGGGAAAACGTTTTGAGTGAATTGAAGACTTTACTATCTTACAACTGTTTCAAGGGGGTGTATACTGAAATTCCGTCAATCGAAATCTCGAATTTTGTAATCCCGACGATCATAACCCTTAGTCAGTAGAATTCTCTTTCTGTTCTTCGATAGAAATAATAGCAGACAAGATAAAATATTTTTCACATGTCGGCATTTTGGTTTGTCGGTGTTTTGATTTCACTGCATATTTAAATTTTGTCGGTATTTCGATGTGTCGGCATTTTGAACTTCGGTATTTTAAGTGTATCCCGTTTCAAGGACTGGAAAAAACGTTGGCACGACATAGATTTTAAAGAATAGATTTCAAAATTAGTCTTACAACTTTTTGCTCATAGTAGTAATATATAATTTCAATAAAAAAAGTTTTCTCAAATTTCAGTAACGTTATTTAAGTCTGTCCTTGTCGCATATAAGCTAGTCTCCGATCAATTTTTTGCACAAAGAAGCCAAGAAAGGAATGTTTGACGACAAATGCTAAGCTTACTTTATAAAACTACTCATTCCTATGGCATTTTAGGCCCTTAAACGTAAGTTCTATTATGCAATAAATAACGCTAATTAGTTAATAAATATACATAAATGGACATTTTTGGATGGCGTATGGAGCGAATTATGCTGATTCCTCATTTAAATATTCTGACTAACCTTTTGTCATATTCTATTTATAGGAAACCCACCATTTCATTATTTAACTTATCAATTGACTTCCTTCTCTTCAAACGCCGCATTGGCATTAACATCCTCATTGCTATTATTACTGTTAGCTTTCAACAGCTTGCCATTGTTACAATTCACTTCCGCCGCTCGATCAGCGATTATACTTGACCAATTTGCGTTCGCCTTAACTATCTCAATGTCACAACGTAGCTTTTGCAAATCTGCATAATTTAGTGTTGATTCATCGCATGCTTGCAGCACTGACAATATATTCTGCAATTGGTTGGCGTACACACGCAAGCGCTCAGTGTTGCTGTTCTCCTGCTTTTGCTCTGGCACACACTGTATTTCACATAAAACATTATCAATGTTAATATAGTCAATAATAAATAATTGAATAGAATATTATATTGGAATAAATACCCGCTGGCACTTAACAAAGGTGCTGAGGAAGTCTCGAATCTTGAGCTCATTGAATTGACCTTCTGTCTGCCACATTTTCAGCAAATTCAAAATGCTCTCTGCATCATTTTCTGCCCCATTGCCAATGATTTCGCCCTCGTCGGTTGTTATGCTGTTCAACGAYGTTTGGTTGGGACCGAGCAATTGCTGTTGCAAAGGCGAAAACTCAACTGTCGGTGAGAGTTTTTTGTAATTGCTGCAGAGCGTACTCAAATTGCAAATGTCCTGCGTTAGACGCTGTTGGTTGGCATTACATTTTTTTTTTTTTTTTTTTGAGGGAATTCGATTTCAATTTTCAATTAGCCAATTCGTGAGTGCATTTGATTTATATATTACATGTAAGTATGTATGTATGTATGCATGTATGCTTGATGGAAATTAATTTACATATGTATATTATGATATGTGTGTGGGTATGTATGCGTTTATGATGTTAAAAGAATTTCGACATTTTTCGCTTTTAACGTTACGTTGTTTTTATAGCAGATTGGAATATGTGTCGGATTTTTATTTATTATTATTTATTTATTTTTGAAGAAAAATAATAAACATTGATGATGACGATTGATGATGGGGGGTGAGTTGAAACATCATGATCGGAATAAGTGAAAAAATAAAATCACATTAATGAATTTCATAAAATGAATTGAAATTTGGATATTGTGATAAAAAATTATAATTTGTAGGTGATACGAAAAAAACCTAAATTTAAATTAAAACACAAAAAAATACAAACCAGGAGAACAACCAAAACGGAAATCACTAAGCAAAACGGTTTATAACTTTTATATACGAACTTGTTGTGAATAAAGAATAGTTTTCATTCATAGTAAAAAATATTCGAATTGACATAAAAAGCTAAATAATTTAATAATCAAGCCATTAACGATGACGTTATTATTGATTTATTATATTTTATTTACATCCAGTTCTGTTTTACATGGTAGATTGATGCAGCAAAAACCGCTCTGACCAGTTAACTTCCTTGTATCCACAAATAAGGAATCCCTCTTAATTTGTGGTATAAACATATTTCGCAAAAATTAAAGCTGGCATATACAATTTAAATCCAAAAATTATTGAATCGTGCTAATAAAATAAAATTATGTATGTAAAAAGTTAAAAATTGTTTTTAACAAATACGGGTTGTATCGGACCAATACAGTTTTAACCTTCCCGGTGACTTTGTACCGCATATATCTGCCAGTATGTGAGTTATCTCAATGAAAATGAAACAGTGTGGTTTAATCATAACCGTGTATCTTTTTGCCAAAAATAGATAAAATTGGACAAAAACTTGACTTACCCCCTTGACTTACCCCCCATATAACTAATATCGGCTGACTTTATTCTATTTGTTTAGATTTATAGTATGGGGCATGGTAATAATAGGTGGTAATGGGATAAAAGGTAAGACCGGTCGATACTACCCCAACTCCCATATACTACATATAATGATTTTCGTTTTTCTAACAAACCTTATGTGTCTGTCAGAGTATGAGTTATATATATTATACTACGTATGTAAATAACATTGTTTGGTCTTAAAGTATTTCCTTGGCTTTGATTCTTTCAACTTGCAAGAGTATAAAATGTGCGGTTTTTCTAGTTTTATTTTACTTTTCTCGTTTGACTGAATAAACTACATTTCTTAAACCATTTTTAGAAAAAGATGGTAAACTTTATTTGTTTGGAGTTAGATGCATTTTTCTTTTGACTAATATTTACATATGTCTGCTTCAGAGGTTTCTTGATCATATGTATTTATACAAAATATATCGCTGTTGGGATATCGGTAAATTCTTCATTGAATTACTGATTTATAACAAATGTTTGCGAGTTGTTGTAAATTCGATATGTAGAAAAATTTGTTATATATAAGTTTTATAACACGAGTTCATATAGAAGAAAAATTTAAAAATGTAAGTACTCTTTCTTTAATGAGAAATCCTCTTTAGGGGCATTTTTTAAAGAGCTGTTAAATCCCTATTTTATATACCTAATGCAATAAGCAATAGTTTGCTAGCCGCCAGCTCGGTGTAGCGGTTGTGGAGCTCAATGCTCAAACGCAATATTTAAATGATCATCAATAAGTTGCTTCAAAAACGTTCTGGCTATCTAAACAGCCAAGGAGTAGCACTTCTATACTATCAGCAGACAACTCCGAGTATTTTTAAGCCCAAATTTTAATAGCATATAAATATATTAAAAAGTACATAAGTAGAAACAACCATTTTATTACAAATAAATTAAAATAACATGAACACACATATACGTACCATATACTATATGTACATATATATACATATTCATGTTTGTATAATATATAATAAATAAAAAATTAAAGTAATATAAAACTGGCATCAGCTAACAATGATTTTATTTAAGATTTTTTGGCAATAAAGTAAACAAACATATATCAATGTTGAAATTTTTATTATGTAAATAGGAAAACAAATTTGCGACAAAATAATAACAATACGAATAATCGTTCAAAATATAAAAGAATAACTTTAGTTATAAAGTGCAAAAAATATAGAAATACACATAAGTCTACATAAATCATTATTTGGTAAATGCTCTTACGACCATAAGTCTAACTGCGCATTTAAATGCAAGCAAATTTTGTTTCTGTTTTCAATAGTTTCGAAAATAAATGTAAAAGTTATAACTATGTACATACATATAAATTTGTGGCCGAAGTTAGTAAAAGTTAAAGTATATAATTGTTAAGTTAGCCAGCTCTTAAGAAGTAGCAGACAAAGTAATAAAGCTTTAGCAGTCTACGAAATGGTGTTTTCTTATAGTAAGCTACTGAAATTAAAATAAATGTTGAACTTTCAAAAGTGTTCACGGAATACTAAAATTGGATTAAGCGAATATACTTAACGTTTAATGCTTTCGACCACAGAAATATATTTTATTTGTAAATATTTTTGTATCGCTACTGTTTTTAACTTTTAAAAATTATGTCGCAATTTCTTATCGTTTCTTTTTCGTTCCGTTTTCGGCTATAGTTTAGGAAAATTAATACTCGAATCATAAAATTCATATTGAGACCAAAGTGTGTTTCACAAAAAAACAAATAAAAAAAAATAATAATAAAATTATAATTGTAATGGTGTGATAATTAGTTACGTTCATGCGACTAACTTCGGTATGTGTTTAAGTATATGTGTAGAAGTATCCATGTATCGGTGAGTTCTACAACCAAAATAAATGCTTGTGCAATAGCAACTCAATTCTAATGCAAAAAAATTATTGATCAATCGATGATTGTATTTTAACGTTTCCTTAAAATCTTACATCGATCTCATTACGGTGTCGTTGCATTTCGGCTTTCGTGTTCGACAAATCGTTATTCTTTAACATTAGCTCTTGTGTGGCATCCATAAGCTCATCTTGCAACTTTATGTTCACATCCTGCAAATCTTTTATTTTCTCCAACATATCCTCTTTATTCTCTTGTAACTTATTCCTATTAAAGAAATAATAAAAAATTATAGACATATTCATGTTTGTATTTTTCCCCAGCATTTGACTCACTTATCGACAATAAGCTGCTGTATGCAATTATCGTTGTCCATTTGTATGAGACGTAGGACCTTGAGCAATTTGGTTACCAAGCTGTCCACTTCGATCACCTGGTCCACCACTGCTTGCGCTGTGCAATACTCCATTAGAGAAGGCATTTCCGCCACTGAGTCATGGCAACTAGCATCATCGGAGTTATCATGCTCGCATTGACTATACAAATTGGGAGGGTGTAAATAAACCGTTAATAAAAGTAATTATATTATTATGTTTAAAATTATATAATACTCACTTCAATTGTAGTGTTGCTTTTTGTACACTGTGCATGTTGCTGATCTGCAATTCCATTTGTTGTCGATTCACAATAGCTTGTGACAAGTTATGCAATGATTCATCGCCAGATGCGGGATTAATCAGTTCCGACGGTACTTCCAACTGAGATATAATACCCGTGCATGATGAGACCATATTGTGTGAATGAGAATCGGGCATTGTCACATCTTCCAGCACGTTATCCATCATTAGACAGGGTTCTGTCTCAGAATCGAGCATCTCAGTGGAATCCGAGTCATCTGCGTAATGAACAATGAACAGAAGAAAAATTAGGTTTTATATTAACAGTTGCGTAAATAAGACTTGACTCACCACCACCGACATTCTTTGTATCTCCATTGTAGTTGTTATTATTTTTTGTCGCAGCCTGACCGTTTGAATCACTCACACCAGCGTTTTCAATACTTATGCGTTTTCCATTTCGCGCCAATAGTTTTTTACTAGACGGAGTAGTTGCATTACGTATGGCACTTATTACGGCCGCAATGAATGATTGATTTCTTTGTGGTGACAAAGATCCATCACTCGGCTGTGGTAAGAACTGTTGAGAGTGTGTGCAAAAGTCCAGCCCATTTGCATTTATGTTCGTTGGCATTCGACCTAGATAATCGTCCACATTTTGCGTTGATCGCGACTCCAAGGCGTTGCCGTGATTTTGTTGTACTTCTGACTGGAAACCGATATCCTATCGAGTATAATTAATTATCATATGTATATTAATTATTTATAGATATTCATATGTTGCGTAGCAGTTAAATTTACAAGCAAGCGAATGCGCTACAATGTTATTTTATTGAAACCAACTCAGTGCCAGATTGATTTTTACATTATAGCTGTGTTACTATCATTTCATATACCAACGAGCCTGTATGGAAAAACTATTTTTCATAATACATTGTTTGATGTGTAGATACTAAGCAATATTCTTGGTGATTTCAATATAATATTTTCGATGGTCGTGGCTCTAATCTAATGCTTAGAGGAACACAATGACATGACAGTTAACCCATCTTTAACATTCTTCAATAGTTCGAATACGGCTTAAATCTTAAGGCACGTCAATGCGCATACCACAAAAGAAAATATTAGTCCTATTTTATGTATCTACATATTCAGACAGAATACTATGCATACATGCCTACCCGGAAGAATGATTATACAGGGTATTAATTGTATGATTATAGATCTCGTTAGATACGTTCATTTTCAATACATAACTAACTCACCTTTAAACAGAATTTAGATAGCCGGTGCGACAAAACAACCAAAACCTAATTATAATATATAATTATATCGCATATAAGGTTCTATCGAACGTATTGTGTGAAAGATTAAAGCCCACCGTCAAAAAACTGATTGGACTTTATCAGCGTGGTTTCAAACCTGGAAAATCAACAACCGACCAGATATTCACCGTGCGCCAAAACTTGAAGGGACCCGTAAAAAGAGAATCAACACTCACCACCTGCTGCTTTTGACAGCACGAAAAGGAGCTGTCTGAGTTTGGTATCCCCGCAAAACTATACATATACAATACCAAAAGATCCGTGAGGATCGGGAAGGACCTCTTCGAGCCGTCGATACCAAACGAGGTTTCAGACAAGACGACTTCCTATCGTGCGACTACTGCTGGAGAAAATAATTCGAGCTGCAGAACTGAATAGAGAAAGTACAAACTTCGACAAGAATGTACAGTAGCAACAACCGCGCCGCTAATTTACCTTTCTCCAGACTGGAAATGGGTCTGGTAGTGATCGAAGGCAGGACAAAATATCTCCTGTCATCATACAAACAGTCATCGTACTTGCGACTTGTCTCCCACTTCACTGTTGACAGTCATAATTTCAAAGTTGTAGATAATTTCGTCTATTTTGGAACCAGCATTAACGCCAACAACAACGGTAATCTAGACACCAATACAAAATAACTCTTGGCAACAGGTGCTACTTCGGACTGAGTAAGCAATAGAGAAGTAAAGTCCTTTCTCGAAGAACAAAGATCAAATTCTACAAGTAACTCATCATCCCGTCCTGCTTTATGGTGCAGAGGCATGAAGGATAATAACATCTGATGAGTCAGGGGCACAAGTTTTCGAGAGGAAGGCTTTGCAGAAGATGTATGTYATTGACGACGACATTGAGATAGTTCAACGAATTAAGAAACAGTGGCTACATTGGCTAGGTGAAATCGTCCGAATGGATGAAAACACTCTAGCTCTGAGTAATCTAACCATTACTCACCGGGGGTTGAAGAGGAGGACGAAGATCTCCGCTACGTTGGGAGACAAGGTGGAGAAGGACCTGGTTACACTTGGAATCTCCAGTTGGCGCCAAACAGCGAAAAGGAAGTCTGACTGGCGCGCTGTTGTAAACTCCGCTATAGCCACGTAATACCATCTTGAGCATATTTATGCATGTAAAAGAAACGGGTGCGGATTTATACCCATCCCATGACTATCAAGTGATCAACATTTCCCAAACTGGGTGATGTTTTCTGACTTTCCAACAACAACAACATTCCCCACTTCAAAATAAATATATTTCCATACAAACGATTATGCCCCATTAAAACAAATGCATTGAATGATGCGCAATCTATAAGAGCAGATGTTAATTACATGCAGAAAATGAATGTATGCGCTATATTAATTGCGAACTTTAACTATGTTAATAAAGTCAAACAATCTACAGCTAAAACATTAATACAGAAAGAAAAACCCACCCCAACCATTAATTGTCATTTGTCATCTTGAGGCGCATCGCAGGCCATCTTCTCATAAATTGGAAGTAAGCATTCAAAAAAGGCAGAAGTATTTGATCTAAGTCTCAATTACAATTTACAATATGAGTACTTTAATAAAATATCAGTTCATATTAGTACTATAGTTTGAACTCTACTATCTTAGTTTCGTTAATGACACGAAATGCTTTATTTGCAAGCACAAAGTAGCCAAATCGTAAATTTTTACTGAGTGAAGGGTTCTTAATACTTCACATAACTAGAGAAAACCTAAAACAAAAAAGTCAACTTCATTTGCACCGAAACTATAGTACCCTTAATAAATACAAATAAAAGCAGTAAAGGTGCGATCTGAATAATTTCTTCGGAGGATTTAACGTTGCCTTGGGTAATAATACATGTCAAATTTTGTGAAGATGCCTCGTTAAACGAAAAAGTTTCCCCATACAAATACTTGATTTCGATCGTTCAGATTATATGGGTGCCATATGTTAAAGCGATCAGATCTAAAACATTTCTTCGAAGATTGTAGCGTTGTCTTGGATATTAAACCATGCCAAATTTCGTAAATATATATTGAATTTTGTAAGAATATCTGTCAAATCAAAAAGTTTGCCATATAGAAATTTGATACCGATCGTTCAATTTGTAGGCAGCTATATTGTATGTTATAGTGATAAAATATCGGTTCTGACAAATGAGCAGACAAGAAAGGATATTGAATGTACAAAATTTCAGAACGATATCTGTAAAACTGAGGGACTATTTTTTGTATAAACATATGACTGCAGAGAGACTAAATCGACTCAGCTCGTAAGGGTCATCATTTACATATATGTATACTTCATAAGATCTCCGACATTTTTTCTCTGTATTACCAACTTGATGGCAAACTTAATACACCTCAAGTGAAAATATTTGTCGTCGTACCTCCAAATCGTGTTCAGTTATATTATAAGTGGAGACCAATTGTTCAACTAAACTATCCAAACGGGAATGCAGGCCCGATAATGCAGCAGATGCGCCCGAGACCGAATAGTTTTGTTGCATCATCATTTCCTTCGATTTACTTTCCAGTGCTGCATATTTGGATTGTAGCATACGGTTCTCCTGTCTGAAATAAATCAACCTTAATTGTAATTATACAATTTTAACGTATGTTGCACTGAACTCACCTTCGCTGCTCATTAAGCCGCACTAAGTGACGACATTCATCGCGCAAAACCTTCACCTCTTCTTCACGCCCCGACAACTGTTGTTTGCAAGCTTGATGCTCATTCTCTAGTTCTTTTAATGCATCACATAATGCTGATTTTTCATGTTGCAGAAAGTCTTGTAATTCATTCGACTCCTGCTCGATGGCGGCTTTTTCTTGCAACAAACATTCCTGGGCGGCCAGTGAACGATTCATTTCAAGCTGTAAGGATCGGCACAACTGACGCAGTTGTCCAATTTCGTGTTGACGCTCGATTAACTCATTACCACTCATTTGTATTTGCGATTCCAACATGAGTAAACTGTCGTGACCACTTCCACTGCCTTCGTCCGAAGTTGGCGTAGTAGCGTCGCCGTCCAAACTAATGCCGCTGACGCTGCCGCCTGTAATACCGTATTTTCCGCCCGCTAAACGTGCCTTCTCCAACATACCCATCACCCGTTCCGTATTTAAATTTAATTCACGCTGTGTAGCCAACTTCTCTTCACGTTCGCGTTGAAGCTTAGCACTCAGTTCATGTTCACGCTGTGCTAATTGACGCACCTCATCTCGTAATCGCTCTAATTCAGCATCACGTATATCAGTCTGTGTGGTCTGTTCATTTTGTTCAACTGCATCTACAGCACGCGTTGCTGGCGTCCGCCCAGCAAACACATTCTCCAAATCTTCCCCGGTGAGCGCCGTCTGAACGCTAGTCTCATGGTATATGCGCGTTTTAGGTGGCTGCGCTGGCGTTTTTCGCGTATGTATCAACGAGCGCGGTTGGTTGCTTTGTGGCGTTGATGCACCAAAGGCGCTTACTAGACTTCGGCGGGTGGTTACCATTACCGATGTGGTCATACGTGTATCACGCGTTATTGAACTGCTGCGCGAGTCAGGCGTCGCTGTCAAGTCTTCGACAGATTTTTGTTTACGCCGCCGCGGCAGCGTGCTATATGGATTTGAACTAGTGTTGTTGCTGGTAGACTTCATCTCCATCGATGCCATCATGTTTGAGGAGCGCATCTTTAGTGACATCAAATCTGGGGTCACAGAGACACCACGCTTCGCAGCCCCGCTAGCTGTACTAGAGGTGCGAGAATTGCCGGGCCAACGGCCATCCTCTTGAGGTGTACACGGCGTACGCGCACGACTCAATGAGGGTGTACGTTGTACTAGACGCTGCATGCTCATAGACTGCGTGCGGCTCAGTGTGTTCGGCAAGGAATCTGGCTTCTGTGGTTTTGTAGCACGTGTTGTTGTAGTGGAGCGAAAGGATGAAGTTGGTGCCGCCATTAAAGTCTTGTTAGTGGCATTAATCGACTGCGGCTTGTCAGCATGACGTTGTGCTATCGTCGACGCTACTGCAGGTACATGACGCGACAAAGATGAAGTACGCTTTATACTAATTGGACGCATACGTGGAGTTGTTGCGCTATTAACTTGGTTGCCAGCCGCGGAAGTTGAGTTCCCAGAAATTGGTGTACTGCTGCAATCTGCACAAATAAAACAATATGTCATTTGACATATGAAACTATTTTTAAATAATTTTGATCGGACTTACCACGTTCTCGCATGCTGCGGGACATTGGAGTGGCAAAAGCGCCACGACCAGCCTCATAAACTCTCATTTTACTTTTAGTACTGTTTGAGCGTCGTACTGGTGTTGTCGACACAGTGCCACCACCCAGCATTGAAGAACTTTCGCTGCCGTTCTCGCTATAACACTCAAAGCTTTGCGTTGCTGAGGACACCGCACCGTTGGTGGTGCTGGTCGCCAGCTCTGAGCCACAACTAAGCAAACTAGAGTTGCCCGAGATATTTAGACCTTGCATACTTGCGTTACTCACATTAGACGGCTGCAACGCCGCAGGCATCGCCGTCTGATTATTGACATCATCTATACCACCCGTGCTGCTGGCGTAGCCACCACTAGTACTGCTCAAAGCACGTTGTAATGTTGTGTTTTTTGTGGCGACACTACCTTTCTCATTGCAATTGCTGTCAATGTTGTCGTTACTGCCAGAAATTGTTCCACCAACAAGCTTCGTGGTCGCTGTGTCAAGGCCGCTATCACTGCCGCCATCACATTGAATACAATCGCCCTCATTCAACACTAAAGCCGCCATTTTACTATTCAAGAGGCCATTGCAATCGCTCTCGAATTGTGGCTCGACAGCGTTAATATTGAAAGAGTCGTTAACTGGTCTATCAGTGCTAGGAATACTAGGTAAACTTGGCGGTAATTGTGGCATGATTTCGGATTCATTGTTTATTTCTTTACTAAAACCGTTATATGAATCTTCTGTAAATGCAAGCTCATCCGATTCCAGTTCATCTGTTTGTTGATTCTCCTGTTCACAATCCTGAGAAAATAATATGGCGGACATGTTCCTCCTGTTATGGCTACTGAGTGTTGCTTTTAAGCAGAGATACAATTATTAATGCATTTTATCTGAAATAAACGTAAACAAATGTAAGTAACAATGAATATATTTTATCGCACTTTTGTGCAAAATAGTATTAACTGTTAGACAATAGAAAGATAGAATAATAGGCAAATATAGATTACTACAAATTATTTCTTCTCATTTTACTTTTGCATGAAAGCCACCACCCTAAATGTCTTCTCAATATTGGTGGCAGAATTCAACGATTCCGTTTTGGTAAAAAATTAGTAAACAACCAAACGCAAAATTTGTTAGGCATTCCAGTCATTCAGCCTACAAATAAATTTCAGGTGATAAGGATTAACTTAACCTTCTTTGGGTAAAGAACTTCGTTTTAGCCAGAACTTAACTGACATATGGCTGCTGACCAAATATTGAGAAAATCGTCCTCAACCCAACAAATTACAAAACCATATGTACACATGCAAGATCCAATTTCACCCAGACTGGTCTGAATATATGTACATTTATGTAAATATATAACACAGGTGTTTTAACCCTAGATATAAGATCAATTTGGATATATTTGTACCCACAATTAATGATACTATCAATCGTTTCATAAAATTTGTTCTCGCTTGTTTTTAAATCCTTATTTTTGTTTTATATTAAGGGGTTACGTACCTTTAGAATATTTTACTAAATTTTCAAGTTGATCCGAGTAATAGTTTCGGAGGTACAGCCTTGAGAACTTATACGCTCGAGGCTAGCTAGGCTAGGTGTGCCGTCTTTAAACGCGTTTTTCTCTAAACGGTGTTTTTTCAGTGAGTTGGCAATATCATGAAATTTTCCACAGGCCTTTGAGATACTATTCTTAAAGATTTGGATCAAAAATTTTTGTGTTTTGATTACAATTATTTGAAAAAAAATTGTGAAATTTTCACTGACATTTTCATTTTTTTGTAAAAATGTCTGCCAAAAATCCAATTTTAGTTTTTTTCCTTCTTCCAAGTTATAAGTTAAGGTTTTAACTAAATCACGTATTTTTTCACTTTAGATAATCATGTAAGGAGTTACTGGTGTCGCAATGGCCGAGTTTAATATATTTTTTCACAAAAATTTCAAAATTTCTTTGATAATAGTGTATGTTTGTAACAATAAAAAAATCTGATAAAATATTTCAATTTTTATATGAGAAAAAATTGTTGATAAAAGGCTGTTTTTTATGCGTACCTGGAACCCCTTTAAAAAATTAGAAAACATGAACAAAATATCTAATATCTTTGCAATGTCAGTTCTGTTTAAGGATACATAGAAATAAACAGAGAGACAAATGCAAAAAACATATGTTATATCTCAATTAAATGATTTTATGAGCTTATCCTGTATAATTTTACAGTTGATAATACCTTTTTGAGGATCAGGAAAAATATGCAGTCGGAAAATCGACTTTGATGAAAGTTTTGCACTGATTTAATAACGTCTCTAACGGAAAAATGGCAAATAGTGGTCGACCAAAATGGTACATATTTATTTATTAGTATATAAAAAATAATAATTTAAAGATTGTTTAGAAATACGAAAAGGCTTTTTCGACTACCCAATATATATAAATTTCAACTATCAACAATATAATTTTTCAAAATTCCCTTTCCGGAACTGCCATAACATTGATAAAAGCTAAATTTTTCATGAATTCCTGTATTTGAAAACCAACAAACAGCCCACTCCTCAACTTTTGCATATCACTTTTCGGAAATTTTCTAATAATTAATTAAAACAAAAGGGAATTCATAAAATGCAAAAATCCTATTCCGAAATTTGCAAGGGCACGAGAGCACCAATCGGGTGAAAATCTTACAGCCGTTTTATTTTATCACTCTCGTTCTACTTTTTAATTGGCTGCTGCCTTTTCTCTTTAGCTGGAGGCGCAACTTCTCCATTCATTTTTATTAAAAATTATAATAAATCTTTATAATTTAAACAGTAGGTAATTTAAAAATTTTTTAAAACTAATCGTCCTCAACAACTTAAAGGCGAAATATGTCTTTATGTAGTATGACAACCCACCAACTTATTGCCTTATCATTTCTAAATTGATGAGATTTTTGTGAGTTCATGAAAATAATTTTTACCTGTTTCACTTCCACTGATAACTTGTACTGATTTGGCGGCTTCATTGTGTAAGCTTTCAGGCGAACCCATTTTGAAATACAAAGGTAGATTTTCATTAAGTAGACTTTAGATATAGATTTCCCCAGCGGGCAGGAGATAGAGTTTATTTGCGGTAAGTTATGTCTATCGTTAGAGCAGACTAAAATCCTAAATGTACTATGCCGATCATTTGGCTTGCCTCGAAATTTAACTTGTCAGAAATAGTGCTATAATACTCAGCTTGAACTTATATTATAGACTTTGAATGAGATTCTTTCTAGTGAAAAGACATTTGAAGTTCAAGCGATAAGTGTCACCAGTCATTGAGTTTGATGGGTGCTCAAGTGGTAGTAGCAAAAGCTGCAAGATCTAACCGGAGGTTGAAATCTGACCACGGGAAGCAGTCAGCTATTGGAGTTCACTACAATCTGCTCATTGGGTTTGCCCCTTTGGAGAGATTTGTGGTAGCTCTAGTTCAGAGCTAAAGATATGGTAGAATTGAAAATTCAGTTTAGTGAGGAGTGGCACTGCGGCCGGGTGCCGAGAGGCTTAAGTTTGAAACCAAACAATACTTGCAAAAAGAATGTATTATTGGGTTCGCTGATCAAGGCATTGTTTTGACTGTATGTGCTTTTAAGCGCCGAGGGATAGGGCCGTCGTCAGCAGGTAGTCATGTAAAGCACAACGACTGTTGCAGATCTAGATATCTAACATATCATTTTTATTAAAATCTTAAAGTGTTCTGCATAATTGTTTGACTATTTTCGGTAAAGAGCCTGAGAGTGAGGTTCAAATAATGCTTGATCATGACTGAATAAATAAATTACTAACAAGCCAATCCAAATATAAGAAGTGCAAATATCAAAAACCAAGAGTGCATTCAAGATTTTCATGAATAAACTCGTAATAAGCACACTTGCAATCATCACAATTTGCCCAAATATCCAAGACAATAAAAAATGTCGTTTTATAGAGCTGTCTAATCATATAATTGTTTAAATTCAGCAAAATACTGTAAGTCAATTTCAATGCGTCGACTTACTATTTTATTGAATTTGTCATGATTTGTTCATATTGTCATTGCAGGGGCATCTTTTGTCCACGAAAAATATTGGCAAATTATACGCTTAACGCTTATACATTATAAGCAGTTACGACAATTTACCGTAATGACGTACAACTACAACGATCACTAGCAACAATAATATCAATATCATTGTCCATAATACAATTAAACTAACGCTCATAATCTTGCAATGAACATAGAGGTATAGATGTATGCACTATAAATGGTTGTAATTACATTGGTGCATAAGTACGCAATGACATGATTTTCAACTATTAAATTGATAGCTTTTACGAATGTACTGTCGATTTCACCTAAGATGCTCACATCGGAACACTGCAGTGTAATATGTATGTATGCATATATATTTATATATATATAATATATATCAATGCATAACGCTGGTGCATTCACACAAACGCTTAAATATAGGCACACACATTTATGACTTTATTATTTAGTACACTCTATTCTCCACGGATTGGGAGCATAAGTTTAAGTCGGTCGTTCACTTCCTGCTACAATCTTATATAGGTACATACTCGTCTGTATGTATGTTTGTGTAACAACTTCACAGATGCTGTAGATTTTTAATGATCTTATTTTATTAGCCCTCGTTATATTGCACATTTGTACGCGCATGCGTACATAATTGTACATAAATATTGTATATATGTATATATGTGAATGTACGGAAGATGTAATGGTAAGCAGTTATACTATATATGTAAGTGCCTATTGCCATCTCAAGCCCTAAACAGATGCTATATAAAAGAAGCGGCTACTAGCCCAATAACTTAATTACCGTGAGAGTGTGTGTTAATTGAATATATTTATACTGAGCATTGTTATTTTAGTGAAAAAATGAAAGATCGGTAGCATCAAAGCTTACTTAATTACATACTTTTCTGAGGATCGAACATTACACAATACAATCTAGGAATTGGTATTGAAATATACACATAAATATATATATATAAGTACCACACTAGAAATAATAATGAAAAAGTTTGCAGCACTTCCATGAAAATGTGCCGCTAAAATATTGAATCCATATGTTTTGTAGACGGCCTTTCAGAAGACAGGTGTATAAATTTCATAATTGTCAGACAATTGATTCATATAGCATTTTAATCATGATAGTAAAGTCAATTTTGTCGAAATTAATGACACCTTCAAGATATCAAAGAAACTTGTTGGAAATATAACTCATACATATTTCGATGTGTGAAAGCTCTCTCCAAGTCGGAAGTCAATGAAACGCATCCACATCTAGCATTTACTTCGGATACCGCCTCCAGCGATCTTTTCCTTTCTTCAAATATCCCGCGAATATTTATTATACGAGGTGTGTTCAAAAAGTATCGCGAATTTTGTGTTTTTTCAAAAATCATTTATTTATTCATGAATATCTATTTTGTCCCCTTCAAAGTAATCCCCATGAGATATTATACACTTGTGCCAACGGGTTTTCCAATCTTCGAAGCACTTCAAAAAATAATTTTTTTTTTTCTTCTTCAGCTCCTTCGTCGATACCGTCTTTATCTCGTCAAGAGAAGCATAACGTCGTCCTTTCATGGGCTTCTTCAGTTTAGCGAACAAGAAAAAGTCACAGGGGGCCAGATCTGGGGAATATGGTGGCTGCGGTATCATTAGTGTGTTGCTTTTGGCCAAAAAGTCGCGCACAAGCAACGACGTGTGAGCAGGGGCGTTATCGTGGTGCAAAAGCTAATTTTTGTCACATCTTCTCGGCCTTCGGAGAACATTTTGTACCACCGGTAAACGTTGCTTCGGTCCAAGGTAGCTTCTCCGTATGACACAGTCAATATTCGGAAAGCATCCGCG